ACTGAAATTCTCTTTAGTCATATTATCCCATGAAATGTGCTTTACAAAGTTCTACTGTGTTTCTTCTGGCACAAATTTGCTGAGAACAACTCAACATCGCAAGATCGGTTTTGTTCATTTTGGGTCTCATCAGGTCTCATCAGGCGGTTAAGGTCTCCGAGACCTCTTCAGGCGTATTCAATTCTGAACACCAAACTGAACGTTTGTGGTTGAAATTAACGAAGAAAAGATTCCCAAATGGTTTTATTTAGATATAGGTGATGCTAGGTGCTGCATTTGTCATCCACTAATCAAGCTCGTGTGACGGTGAACGGAGAGTTATTGTTGCCTTCACAAGCTTTCCGGTATCCGGATACAGGTCGCCGTAACTATGTCCACACATCAGAGGGATTCGGTTGCCTTTGTAAACTTCTACACATAAGCTTAAATTCTCATTAGAGAACCACTGGTAAGGATTTTCGCACTATTCGCCGTGTTGCACCAATTGGCACATTGGCACCTCGACCCATCCTTGACGACGATTTGAAGCACTTTCCACAAGAGATATGAAGCTTGTGGGATGGGAATTTGTAGGGACATGTAGGTATCCATTTGAGGAAAATGGAATTAGCTGCGTCTCACCCAGTCATCAGGAGGGCAACTTCGGTCAATAGGAATAGAAGACTCACCGGATCGGCAGCACTTAGTAAAATTAGCTTACTTCAAGGGATATAGTCCTTGTTTGAATACCCAGAAAACTTCGGTAATCTCGGAATATGGAGGGATCGGGAGCCATTCATTAGAATATATCTAATTTGTATATAATATCTATATCTAATTCATCTAATATCTAGTTTATCTATTCATATCAGACTGAAAAATGGTATTGCCAGAAAATTATTATATGTCGCTATAGTGACCTTTCCTTGACTGAACCACAACATACATCCAGTCTCCGAAAGTAATGCCAGGACCGAATTCATACAATTTACCGGAGTAAAACCCAACTGTATGTCACTTACTCAACAGAAATGGAGGTCTTTTCCGCCGGTATACGTATATGTCCCTAGTGGTAAGGACCTTGTCGACTCCATCGGTCACCAACTGCCCCAATTCACATGATTGCGTTCCATACTTCAGCAGGGCCCTGCAGTTTCCCAANCTTTTCCGCCGGTATACGTATATGTCCCTAGTGGTAAGGACCTTGTCGACTCCATCGGTCACCAACTGCCCCAATTCACATGATTGCGTGCCATACTCCAGCAGGACCCTGCAGTTTCCCAACTTCTACTCAGATAGCTGTCGATTTACCGGAAGCCGACCGCACAAATCATAAAAATGACCTAGAGTTGGTTCCTCTGCCTCCTTAGACAATGAGGTACTGGACAGTCGATGCTTCGCGTACGGTTCGTCAATAGCTAAGACGCTCAGCTTAGTAGATTCTGCGGATTCCCCGGAGCTTCAGGTGTTCTGCGTATGGTTTAATAGCAATCACTGTTTGGTAATTGATCAGGTGGCTGTTGATCTGTTCGCCGAGATTGGCAATTGATTTGCAAACGTCTCGTCACCATTCGAGGAGACATCTTCAGTGCGCTATTGGTTGGGTAGTTCCTCTCTTCTTGCCTGCGTTTATATAGTCTACAAAGAGCAGCCTTTGCGCTGTAACCTGGATTCTGATTGGCCCGTTCTTGATCTTGCGTGGTGGTCGGCTTATCTGTTGGTTTGTGGCGTGCCTCCTATCTTTAGTAGCCTGCTGTTCTATTGATTTCTTCTTTGAGTCCTTGTCCGGCCTCGGGTTCTGTGGTTCTGGAT